GCCCTGGGTCCTTTGGGGGAAATTTTACCCTAATTAGTGCTCCTAGAATAATGGTCAATAGAACTGAAGAAAATACAAAGTGGGCATATTATAACCTGGAGGGAATGGAAAATCCCTCGTCCTGTGGGATGAGTATGTGACAAACCCGGGCCTTTTGCTGAGCGGTCACATATATTTTCTCTTCTTGTTATCTGGGCTCAGGCAAAGGAAAAGTTCAAGAAGCCTGTAGCAGGAAGCTTGTTGAGCAGCTGCCGAGAAACAGAAAGGCATTGACCCTTATGGATTAGAGAGGGAAGTGTCTCGCACAGTGATCAATAGCTCTGTCTCTGGACTTGCGGTGTCTGGGTTTGCATCCTAGCCAGGGCCAGCTACATATTATAGTAATTTGTAGGGCTCGGTGCAAGAGGAAAATGCCACGTCCTACCCAAGACCCAGCAAGTCATGGCTCTTACCCATGGTGGACTGGTGACCCCAAAGAAATTGCAACCTTCATTCCAGAATGTGCTCAAGACCTGGATTGGGGTTGGGGGCGAGGCTCTCCCAGGGGCGGGATTGGCTGTCCCTTTCCCTATTCTGAGAAACCACAGGACATACATACCCCCGACCCTGACCCTCCACTTCCTTGTACCCAGCTTCACCGCTTGCAAGCAGTCAAAGCTTGAGAATGTTTGAGAATGTTGAGAATGACCTCCGTAAGCGTCAGTTTTTTAGTCAACAAAGTCATGATGAAGAGAGTACCTGTCTCAAAGGCACGTTGCAAACATTGAAAGCAATAATACATTTGAAGGCTCAGAGCGGTGCCTGCCTATTAATAAGCACTGTTAACTATTATTATGAGTATAGATTCACCTGCGTGCTTTTCCATGGTATGACCTATGCTTGGGGCTTTATTTTTTTCCACCCAGTTCTCCTAAGGGGCCCCTACTCTTTTAGTTTGCTGTCTCGTGGCCAGTGGCAGGATATTCCAAGATATCTATCCAGGCTTCAGGAGGAGACCCACAGTATAAAACATAGAACCCTCTGCCCCCCAACACATGCACAAACACAATATACACAAATATGCACAGACGCAAACACACACACACACAACACACACACACATACACACTGCCCTCAATAAATTAGATGGTAACATCAGTTTTTGTTTTTTTTTAAAGGGCTCCAAGAGACCAGGATTCTTGGATGGTGCCTTAAGGTCCTTGGAGCAGATAGCAGCAGTAACCAGCCACCCTCCTCCCACTATTCCCGTTCAACCCCAGAAAGTTTCCTTTTGCTCTGGATGATATTTCCCTGTTTCGTATAGGATTTTGCTTGAAAAAATAGAAAGGGTTATGATATCCTTTAAAAAAATATGAAAACTAGTGCTCCAATCAATGGAGCTTGTGGTACCTGGACTGTGCCACAGTTATCAGTCTGTTGAGATGGTTACTCTGGCCAGGTGCTGACCAGAGGTGCAGTGGCTGTAAGTGAGCTGAGAGATCCAAACCTGGCCTCTGATGTTAAACCTCCTTTTCCCAAGGAGATGCAGCTGATAAGCTTGGTTGGGGGTGACGACACGGCTTTTGGATTCCCTTCTTTTCCTACAGAACCCCCCACCCCTCGCTTAAACTGAGGTCTAAATGTGGTAGAACTTTCCAGAAGAGCTGCTCCAAAGGGAGTGTTTCAACCCTCCCTTGAGAAGCACTGAGCTGAGAATAAGAAGACCTGTGTTCCATGCGTATCTTAGCCGACCCTGATCCTGTGACCTTGGCCAAACTACACAAACCTTTTGAGCCTTACTGTGCCCATCCGTAAAGTGGGAATACTCTCTAGCTTGCCTTTCTCACAAGGCCATGGTGACACGCATATGATGTAGTTTGTGCAAAAGTCCTTTTGGAGACGATACGACACTCTCCAGATGCATGTAAAATTTAAGGGTGTGCTTTTGCTTCCTTTGCCTGTTCTGTGTTGATTCTTTTCTTGGTGACTCTGATGAAGCAGGAGGGCAGGTAGACATAGCTCATGTTGAGTCATTTTTCTACCAATAGTCTTATTTCTTTGTTTTGTGGTGTACCTGTATTAAACCAAAATTAAATGATGGACTGACAGGTGCTCATACACATATAACCTTTATGTAATCATCATCCTATAAATCATTAAAATTACCCACTTCCCTTACATGTAGATACGCCATTGGACAGTGGTGTGCTGGTAATGGCTAACAACCAGCTCTCTGAAAAAATATATTCATTTTTCTGTATACATAAGTTTCGTGTAAACTTTATTGATATAAAGAATGCGTAGCAGCACACAATTTTCAAAGAATTATAAAATATGCAATACCCTTTACTGTAAATTCCACATAGCTAATTGATTGTCACAAAAGCATTTGACTGATTTTTCTTTTGCAGTTGATGAAAGAGTATAGCTCCAACATGAATGCTGTTTCATATTTTCATTTTTGTTAAGAAATAAGACGAAAGACTGAAGACGTATATTGGAACCTCACTCCTTAGTCCATGATGGAAGTGGTTTCTTCTCTCAGTCAGCGAATAGTTTTTGACTACTGGAAGACTATTTCCTTAACTTTTTTTTTTTTATTTATTTTGCTACTCACAATGTAAAAACCCTAGACATGATTTACTTTTATGTTTAATCTACATTATTAATATTTTCTTCAACACTCTCTCAAGTGTAGACAATGATAAAACCACAAATCAACCATGATTTGTAGCATTTTTAGATTTTCATGGTGTTAATGTTCCTACCATGGCATATTTGAAGCTAAAACTATAACATGCTTGACTACAGAGTGTGGAAAGGATGCATGGTGGTCACCATTCTATGGTATTTCCGTTATAGAAACACAGTAGATACAAACAACCTCAAGAACATAGATGATAGTAAAACGTCATAAAATAATAAGGAAGTGATGAGCTTATTATCTTTGTTTTTAATATAATTTATTTAATTGTAAGTTTATAGCATTTAACTTTTAATAGTGGCTGTATTTAATAATTGGCTGGAAAAAACTCTCGTAAATTTAACAATCGGCTCCTGTGAGTGGGTATGGGCCTGCTCCAGCACACCACTGTATGTTTGTTTTTCTCTTCCTTGTGAATCTGGAAATATCCAATATTCAAAGAGAGTTATTGAGTACCTATATGTGCTAGATGCTGGGGATTCCGAGACATAGTCCCTGTCTCATGGAGCATACAGTCTTCTTGAAAAACAAATAAATAAGCAGTGATTTAGTGCAGTTGTCTAAGTGTTTTTTTTTTTTTTTTATTTCTGAGATAGCAAAAATCCTGTTTGGTGTTAAGGTGTGCGCCATTTATTCCACTTGTATTTCCCAGTTGCCTTGTAGGACTGGTTCTTTGTGTCACTGCTTTCTAGTTTTCTGGCTAAAAATTATCCCTCTTAATGAAAACCTCTGGCTAAGGAGCATGGCGCTAAGGACCATGAGGTGTTTGTCTTGAAGTTGGCTTTTGAAGTCTGACTGTATTAATAGGCACGGCACCTGCCCCATTTGGAAGGGAGGTCCTTCTAAATGCCTTACAATGTGTATAGACTCTAGTAATTCCCTTTCCTTTACCATCAGAACTTATTCCTGAGACCTCCACCCTCTTACATGGGCAAGTGCAATTTCTGGATCCAAAGCAAAAATAAATACATGGATAGAAATTTTGAAATGCCCACATACCCTTCGTTAAGAATAAAATTAGAGCTCATGGGGAGAGGGTGTCCCCATTTTCTAGGTTCTCCCCAAATCGGGGACTTTCCGAGCAATGGGTTACACCTCTGCCTAGGTGAACAGATGTAGGGCTTGATCATTTTGTCCGGAAATGGATGCACATGTGTGAGTCTACGAGTTCCTGTGCACACGAGCACACACACACACACGCACAGAGAGAGAAAGAATCCCTTCGCGTATTGGCAGAGATTGTTCATCAAAAAGGGTTAGCAGTGAGTTCTCTGTCATCATGTGTAATATCCCCTGAAATGACTTGGAAAACTTTAATTATGTTAGTGCCTTATTTTCAGCTCCTGTTATCTTTTGAACTCCCGGAGGGTGGGGGGGATGGGTTACCCCGCAGCCTGGGCTTTTTCTAAAGAGCCTTTGTCTTCCTGTCCAGGTATTAAGTTGGTGGCGCAACAATCATAGGTACATTCGGTTCACTTTTCTCCACCCCACCCCACCCCCCACCCCCCAGCGCCGATCCCGGGTCTGAATGTGGGCCTGTGTTCTCTTGGTCCACCGTCCTCAGGCCTGCACGGGGGACCGAGAGAGAATGGGCCACAGGAATGCACCCAGAACAGAGCCAAATTGTTCACGCTGTGCGAAGAAGAAAGAAAAAACGGGAGGGGGGGCAGGGACGGAGAAGAAGAAAAGCTCTCCTTGTCGGTTCAGTTTCTCCGGAGATATTTGGAGGATAACACAGTAATTTTTTTTAGTTGGGGAGGGGGGAGAGGGGTTACCACAGGGGGAGCCAAAAAAAAAAAAAAAAAACCGAGAGGGCCGAGTTTTATCGGCACAGTGGCCCATACAGAAAGGTGACATTTGAGAGAACAATTGCTAGGTTGTTTGGCCACATTTGCTTCTATGAATGAGGCTTAAGAAAAGGTGTCTTTGGATTGCTACTAATAGTCATCTTCATCATTCCTGCTCTCTCTCTCTCTCTCTCTCTCTCTTTCTCAGTTCCCTTATGAAATAAGGGCACACAGGTAATAAACAAAGCACTATAAAAGATCAGATTGAGGTATTCTGTGGGCTCATTCAATGTCTGCAGCAAGCATCGCTGGTGATTTCGGCTTCAAAAGCTGCGTGGAGACTGAGGAACGGTGGCAGCATTAGACCAGACCCGAACCCTTTTCTCACTTTCTGCAACCTCGCTGGGTTTAAAAGGACCACAGCCTTGGCCAGCTAAACCACACCCGGTGGCCAAGGGACAAGAGGAAAAGATGGCAGGGTAGAGACCCTTGGATTTGCTCATTTGGATTTTGGATTTTTACCTGATTTTCTTTGACAAGCCTCATGCCAGATCCTGGTGAGTAGCTGCCTGGGCTAAAAAGCTGTCTGTCTTTTTTTTCCTTTTTTTTTTTTTAAAGAGAATCTTTCTTCCCAATTTTGACCAATCATCTGGCTGTGCTCCTTATTTCTTCCCCCTTTTTTGGCCTCGATTTAGGAGGCTGGGGGTTACGTGCAATCTCCTAGCAGAGTCGGCCGGGCCACCTGCTGCAGGACGTGAGGGCCAATCTCTGCCAAGGCATCATATTGCCACGTAGGACAGGGGGAGGGGGCGCCAGGTGGGCTCATTTGATTTTGGAGGCTAATCAGCAATGGAGGGATGGAGAGAGGTACGAATGATTCTTCCCCCAACAGGCAAACTTTCTTGCCACGTGGCCTCTTGCTCCTGGCCGGGCTTCTGTCTTCTGCCTTCGCCCCCTCTGGCATTCTCCTCTGCTCTCAAATCTCACCCTGCACAATTCCCCAGAAGCAAACAGGGGCACCGCTGTGCAAAGCACGAAGGGCCCTGCCTGGTTTCAGAGACAGGAAAGTTAGGCGAGGGTGAGCAGGAGGAACCAGCTATGGATCTGGTTTCCTGCGGTGCGTTGGTACCCAGCACCTTTATCTAGAAAGTTCATCCACTGCAGGTGCTGCCAAGCTGGGCTCCCATAGGCCAGGCCTCTGAGTTGACAGGTAACTAAAGATGAAAGGGGGGACCCCAGAGCCTCCCTTTCTTTGCTTTGCTGCTTGTGCTCCGTTTCCTGGATCACAGTAATCATTACTGGGAATATAACCTAATAACAGACCTGGATGAAATGCTGGCTGTTTTGCAGAGAAGAGTACAGGGTTGAAATGGGTTTGTGCCTCCGCTTGCATTTGAACGGCAGTGCCCGATTGACCGCGATGTGCGTCAAGATGCCCGTGTTGCTTACGGACAGTGTAATTACATCGACTGCTTAGTTCTAGAAATCTCGAGGAGAAAATTGTTCTGGCAGTTGGGTAGCCCCATCTGTCTTTTCAGCAGCAAAAAATACCAAAGACTGGGTCAATATATATATTGTATAACACTACATTTTCTTATATTTATAAAATGCATTTAGCCTTAGGATTTTAGGTACTTTTCAAATGACCCACTTATTGTTATTATACTATTTTTTATTAACCTCCACTTTTTGAATAGAGAAACGGAGTCATCGGAGCTTTCAATTATTTTCCAGTTATTACAAAGTAAGTCTTTTCTGAGGTTCAACTAAAACCTCCCATTTCCCAGATGAGAAACAGACTCGTGTGTGTGTGCGTGTGTGTGTTTGTGTGTGTGTGTATGTGTGTGTGTATGTGTGTGTGTGTATGTGTGTGTGTATGTGTGTGTGTGCGTGTGTGTGTATGTGTGTGTGTGTGTGTGTGTGTGTGTGTGTATCTGTTTAAGTGTATGCACTGGAGTATACCTTATGAGAGTTGCATACAAACGCGGTGGTGTATCGCGTGTTCTGTACAGGAGTGTGCGTGTGAGAATAAGTCATACGGGAGAATATCCGAGTCATTGTAATTTGGAGACTTAGATCCAGACTGTGCATCTTTCAACAGAGCCCCTTCTGATAGCCTGCTGTGTGAGAAATGAGGCTGAACGCTGCAAAGACATAGTATTAATTCGTAGGAACGGGGTTGTGTGTAATACCTCATAAATGTATTTCATAGACATGTACAAAGTGAAACATATCTAGGTCTTCCCAACAATGAATGAATGAATGGATGCTTGGAAGCTTTCCCAACTTGCCATCGCATAGAAAATTGCCTCTTTATTTGCTCAGCTTCGAGGGCTTTTTTTTTTTTTTTTTTTTTCCTGTGCCTGTGTTTTCCAAGCCGTATGGATTTCTCTAGAAATAACAGAACTTTTGATATGGCTACTTTAAAAGAAAGCTACCAACCAAATATTTGGTTTTAACCTATGCCGGGAACATAGTAGGGATTGTCTAAGTAATTGACAAGCCCTGAAGATTGAAGGAATGTTTGACTAGTTCCCTGAACCGCAGGTATCGATTTATGGTGAAGTGCACTTCTGTATTTACTTACACACGTATATGCTTTCTTGAGTGAAATAGTTTTTTGACTCAATTGACAAATTCTTTTCTTAATGTCTCATAGAACTTATCAGTGACTTAAATTCAGGCAGTCAATCAGTTGCTTTGACATTATGTAAAGATATCAAAGACCTTTGTGTCCTTTGACTTTCCTTCTTTGTACCTCCTGTCATCATCTATATTTAATCAATATATATTGGGTAGTCTAACATAATACTCCATTTTTCTCTGAAACTAACAGGTTGAAATATGTGTGCAGTACAAGTCTGTGTGTACCAAGTCCTGGGACAGAATTTAATTTCTTTTCTCACACCCCCTGATGGGACACTTAGAATGGCCGGCAGAGCTAGTGGTAGCACAGGGGTCCAAAAATTGTTATTCATATAAGGTGAGGAGGGGGAAAAAGCATATCATTGCTCGAGAGTTCTACAATTAACCCTGACCACAAGTCACAATCTACGGCTGTGTTCTAACAAGCATTTTGCCCAAACAGTGCTGGGTGAAGTGGTGGCCACTGATGTCTGAGCCTGGACATCTGCATTTCACAGACTTATGGGGGCACGGGGACCCAGGGCTCAGACACATGCGTTATTCTCTGTTTCTTTCTCTGCTTATTAGCCTTGTGGGTAAAGGCGGCATTAACCATGGGCCCAGCATTCGAGAACAAGATGGCAAAACTCAGGAAAACACACAGTCTTGTGTTTGGGGCTTTAAGAGACTCTGAGGTGACCTTGTGCTCAAGAGGATTTGGGAACACCTTGGCTTGTAGCCATTACTGTTGGCTAATAATTGCACTAATCTTTTTTCGAGGGGGGTTTTGTGTGGGCATATTCCCCCTCCTTCAATGCCCAAGCAGAGAACAATAGGAGGATTGTGTTTCTGCACTATTGCAGGAGATAGGTCAGGGGCTGCAACCGGGTGGGTGAGGTCCCCTGCGGATGGCCCACCGGGCGTTAGCCCCACAGTCATCATTAAGGGACCCAGGACCTGAGCGTTACAGCCTTTGGCCGAGTGCTGGGGAAGCTTTTCACTAGTTGAGATGTTTAAACAGCAGCTGTTTTGGGGTTCTCAGATCCAGTGGCCTTTGAGGGACCTCAGAGGCAAGTGCAATGCTTGCTAGAGGAGAAAGGGGAGGGAAAGTGTGTGTTTGTGTGTCTGTGTGTGTGTGTGAGTGTGCCTGCACATGTGTACACTGCATTCTATCCATTTTTCTCTTGTCTAAAATTCGCTCAGCAAAACCATTCTGTCTTCTTTAGAATGGAGGATATTAAACTAAAATTTGGAGTGGACATGCCAAGGGGAGATACCCCTGTAGTGTGAACCTCGAGCTTGGGTGTGTGTATGTGTGTGTTGTGTGGGAGGGGCATGTTGATCTTTAATAGTCAAGTCAAGTTGGCAGCTCTACCGCAACGAATTAAAATAATCTATAAGGCCAGTCCATGGTGAGCGGATACCCTCTGGTGCAGGAAGTAGCATTTGAATGTTCAGTTGTGATGGGAATGCGCCCTAGAATTTGGAAAGTGGGTGCTCAGGAAATAGTTGTGCCTAGAAGGTTAGACTAAGACGCTCAAGGGTTCTAAGCTCCATGAGGCAGGTAAACCTCACAGTACATTTGTCACAGTTCACGCTGATTTCCCACACTCTCCCCCAAATGGGGCACACGATCATTGCAAACATCCTGAGCCTACCATTTCCTTTTAGTGAATTTCCATGGGCTGGTTGTTCAGATGTTAGGTGTTGAGAAGGCCAGGTCCTTGCCAACATACGGACGGGGATAGGTGCGGAGCATTTGGATTCCCCTCTGCCTCCTTGCCCGGGGTCCCCCGGTGCCCGCTTTGGGGGATGCTGCGCCTTTCTGCATCTGCTCCCTGTTCAGCAGCTGCCGGGTCGTGGATGGAGCACACTGTGAGTGCAGTTTGGCAGGAGGTTGTGGGGAGGGCAGGGAGGATGCGAGGGGGTGAGGATGTCTCCACGGGGCGGGGCGGGGTGCCGAGAACAGAGGGGCGGGAAGGCCAGGCAGCCCCGCTGTCACCCGTGGGGTGGCCGAAACCCGGGACAGGGGGAGCCTCTGGTCTGGATTAAACAGAGGTCCCGGCAAAGGCACAGCTTCTCCCCTCTCGGACCCCGGGAGTTCTCCAGCCTGCATTTTTCCAGCTCCTCATGAACATTTCCAAATTTTTCTTTTTTTTAAATAAAAATACGTGTGGAAAAATACAGTAAAAGTGACAGCGCTTTCCCAGTTTCCGACAGTCCTGTTTTGACTTTACAATCAGCCAAACTGGAGCCCCTGAGTAGCCGGCTTAATTTGTCACCTTGAGTTATTAACCGTTTCCCTGCCTGGCTCGGTGGGTGTCCTTCTGGCACCTGGCCCTGGCTGGCGCAGCGACCTGTTAATCTTGTGCCCTTTCTCTCCGGCTTATGGCTCTGCCTGAAGAGCCCGGTTTCCCTCCTGGAGTCAAATCTGAATTCGCTTCGCAGTCACCTCTTGGCTGGCTTTTGCCAAGCAGCGGCTGAAACAGGAGGGTGACGGGAAAGTGCGTGGAGAACGACCCCGGGGGCGGCTCTCACCCGGCCTGCGGCGCCCTGTAGTTCAACAGTTCAGTCTATTTCTCTTGGTCGGGGGCCAAAAGGCAGAGGGAGGCTTACTTTAAAACTGGGATGATATAGGATATAGTCCACTGCGAAGCAGAGGGAGGGCTTAATCCTAATGTATATTTTTATGTCAGCAAAGTTAGTCTTGGTGGCATTTTGTTTTTCTTTTTTCCATTATCCCCCTGGCAACTCATAGCTCCATTTTGTCTCCTGGCTGCCTGAGATCTTATTGGGGAATACCATACATTCAGATATTACCCGGTGTTCCTTTCTCCCTCAAAACTTCCTCACCATCCTCCTTGAAGGCTTGTACTTTTAGGCCATCCAACTTATTAACAGGGGCAATTCATCCAAGTTGGTGATTTCTTTG